GCAGCCCCGAGGGGAGGAGATGCTGCCGAGAAGCCGAAAGAGCAGGACACGGAGCAAGCGAGGAGGGCAGAGGCACAGAGGTGTAGGAGAAGAAGAAAGGCCCGGAAAGAAGCGGTTGACCTTGATTTTCGGATTTCTAGCTACCCCACGATGCCCGGGGCAGGGGCCACCCCGAGCCCCCACACCCAGGGGCTGGCACCTACCCTAACGCAGGAGGTATTTCAGGCACGTCTAAGGCATCGCAGGACTTGTCTTTTGCTTTCAGAATCGCCTCGGTTTCCTCCCTGCAGCTTCTTCCACCAGCACGTGGGGTCAAACGATAGAAAAGAAAAGCCCGGAGAGGATGAACAGAGATAAACTCTCATGCACTACCACCGAACGTCGTCACAGGAGTATGAAGCACCAGCCACGACACGATTCACTTTTACTTGCAGAGCCGAAGCTAACCATATACAAAATGTTAGAAAGTGGGGTTCGCTAGAAACACGGCGCCGCTGCCGGCGTCCTCGCTAACCCGCCGCGGGGCCGCTCAACCCCTGTGCTACGCTACCGCCAGAAATTAAAAAGCACAAGACCAAACATTGAGTAACATCATAGTCATCTAGCCTGTCGCTATATACCTGACAACTTAAATAAAAAATAATAGTTTGGAAAGAAACCAACAATGTCATTCCAAGAAGGTTACACACATCCTTAGCAGTTACTTTGCTCAGCACAGCCCTGGTGCTTTAAATATGGAACAATCAAACAATTCTGTGAGCAGAAAAGTGACACAAATTTATTCTTTACATATTTTTTTTGTGGGGTTTTTTTTTTTTTTCTTTCTAGGCAACTCTACAGACTTCAGATCTTTTGCCTCGCAATGCAGATCATCTTATTCCCCCAAAGGTGGCCAGGTTCTTTAAACATGCACATCTCTGTAGCTTCCAGGCCGTGTATTTTACTTATTTTTGTTTGAATTCTGCGGACTAGCAGGTCGTCCCCGTTCCTAAAAACTCTACATCAGTGTTCAGGGTGGCCTGAGTGCCGGTCAGGCTCCTCCAGGGTTTACAGGATCACGCAGAAGAACTTCTTCTCTCTAAAGGGGTTTTCTGAGGCCGGGACGGGGGTCAATAGAGGGTCCTCCTTGGCGTGGGCTTCGCAGTACGCCATCAGGTCTGCTGCCGCTTTTGACACCTGGAATAGAAGGAGCCCCGCGTTAGGGACACCCCGCCCTGGGGACACCCCGTGCTGGGGACACCCCACGCTGGGGACACCCCGCCCCGGGGACACCCCGCGCTGGGGGCACCCCATGCTGGGGACACCC